TTAAGAAACATCATCCATCACAAAGAAAGTACTTTATTTTGAAAAATTGCAGCTTTCCTTAAAATGCGTCATGAAAAAGTGTTTGGTCTTCCCAATATATTTAATTTTTGTTGTTATGCCAAACAATATTTTTATTTATTTTTGTTTAATTATTAGAAACAGCAAGGGAATTTATTTCAATTTGTTTGAATATAAAGTATTTAGTTTGAATGTTGTGTGAACACGTTGAGCTTGATACTCGCGGCCAGGGAGGGGGCTTGCGTCGTTCGGTCGACATAGTGGGACATTATTATTATGTTTTGACGTTTGAAAGAAAGTTTATGTTAATGTGCTGCTCCTATCGCATCTTTGCTACCACAGACCAACTACCGCTACCGAGACGCCACTGCATTGCTGGGATCCATTAGAACAAAAGGTGAGTGCTTGCTCAACGCTGCCGCTTTTTTGCACCCGCTTAATTTTATCAAACCGCTTAAACATTTGGTCCTTCAGAGCCACGGATTATTTTATAGATAGCTAAATCATTCTCTTTGCTGCATTTATTAATTAACAAAGACGTTCTTCAAACATTTTCTTTTATTACACGCGTTATTTCCCTATATCAACGATATAGGTACGTTTTGGGAAAACCGTCGCATTGTGCCCGCTTATCAGTTGACGAGTAACGTATTTCTATACTATCTATCGATCAGGCATTGTCAGTGAATATATTTTATTTTTCGCTTATACTTTCACTATGACAACAAATAAAATTAAACAATACAAGGCCCTATGCCAGTTAAGTGTTAATAGGGTATTACAGATTAAACAATTCTCCGAAAGGGTTTCCACTGATCCTTCTATCCATGTACAATTTAGAATGTTATTCCAACAATTGAATCCTAGCGTTGATGAATTCCGAAACAGTTATCAAAATTTAATCGCTCTGCTTGCGCTACAAGATGAGGTTAACTTGGAAGAGGAAGAGAACATGAGGACGAAATTTGAGTTTGACGTTTCTCATGTGCAAGCGGTTTATTTTACTCATATCGAAAATGGTTCGACTTATGGTACTCCGGACGCGCCAATGCCTCACGCACCATCCGCTAGGACACCTACGTCACATACCGACAACGTCAAGCTACCTAAAATCGAAATCCCCAAATTTTCAGGAGACATTAAACAATTTAAATCATTTATCGATATGTTTAAAACTCTAATTCACGACAAACCTACTCTATCAAACATTGAACGGTTTAATTATCTTGTGTTATCATTAGAAGGCCCACCGCTCGCGTTGGTACAACGTGTTAAAATATCAGATGAAAATTACAAAATTGCCTACGACTCGCTACTAAAACGCTATGATAACAAGCGTTTAATCGCAATCGCACATTTGGAGGCAATGGAAGGTGCCCCGATTATTTCCGACCCATCGAATTGTCAAAGGTTGAGATTAGTATTAGATACGTTTTTAGAGAATATCGCCGCTCTGAATAACTTACATTTTCCCGTTAAGCAATGGGATTTTTTATTATATTACATGTTACGCAAACACTTGGATCTTAATACCATGTCACAGTTTCAATTTGAACAACCCACAGCTGGTGACGCGGTGCCCACTTTCGACAGTCTTGTCGAGTTTATTCTGAAAAAATGCAACGCTTTAGATGACGGTGAAATCGGGGATCCGAAGTCGCAAAACCAAATGCAACCCGCTGCAAAGGTTAACAAACGGAATTTTAACGCTAAACAGTCTACTTCACTGCTTGTAAATAATTCCGAAAATTCATCTAACTGCTCAATTTGCAAATCTAAGGATCATTTAATTTACACGTGTCCTGAATTTAGACGTAAAACCCCACAAGAAAGACTTCATACTATAAAACAAAACAAGCTTTGTACAAACTGTTTGGGCTCCCACCACATTCAAAAATGTCGCTCATCATCGACTTGCCGTACGTGCAATGCAAACCATCACTCTCTGCTTCATATATTTAAAAACACCCCGCGCCAATTAAATATCACTACATCTTCCGAATCAAAGGAAACGGTGGAATCCAAGCCCAGTTCCTCATATCAAAACAACGAAACATGTTTATTAGGTACGAACCACTCTTCTAATTATGTTTTCCTTTCTACCGCAATCGTGGAGCTGCTTGATTCCTGTAATTCCTTTTCAAGGGTGCGAATCCTTTTGGATTCCGCATCACAAGCCAATTATATCTCGCAAAGATGTGTAAAAAAATTAGGTTTGAAGCGGTTTAATCTTTCTGTTGCCATTTCAGGCTTGAGTAACATGGGGGGAGTAACGTCTTGCGGGGGTGTTAATCTTCAAATTAAACCAGTAGGTAAAGCCGGGCCAATTATGAAAGTTGACGCTGTCGTTTTGCCAAGATTATGTTCAGACTTGCCACACCAATTCATAGATTATAAAAACTTTCCTCATTTTAATAGGTAATATAAGACTCGCAGATGAAAGGTTTTATATACCTGCGGCGGTTGATATTCTTTTAGGAGCCGAACTTTTCCCATTTATATTAAAACCGGGGAAGGTTATAGGAACTCCGTCAGCTCTAAATACAATTTTTGGCTTTGTAGTTTTGGGTTCTTCTAGCGGGAAACAGAATGATTCTTCCTTGAGCCTATTCCTGGGTTCTCCTCAGTGTGATTCATTGTCAATAGAGAGTGCTATAAAACGCTTTTGGGAGTTGGAGGATATTTCCGCAAATCATTTAAGGTCACCGGAGGATTCACGGTGCGAAGAAATATTCAATACAACCCATTATAGAGATGACGAAGGTCGGTATGTCGTCAATCTTCCTTTCAAAGAGTCTGAACCCACATTCTGTTTCCAAAACACCCGCAATATTGCCTTAAAACGGTTTTACTCCTTGGAGCGTCGTCTCATTAGTAAACCCTCAATTTACGATCAATATCGCAACTTTTTGCGTGAATATTTGACTTCTAATTATATGGAGAAGGTAGATGCTCCCACAGAAAATAAGAGTAACATATTTTATTTGCCACATCATGGGGTCTTCAAGAACGACGCAACGGCTAAACTCCGAGTAGTGTTCGACGCGTCAGTTAAAAGTGTGCAAGGTGTTTCCCTTAATGATACGTTACTGATTGGGCCCAAATTACAAAAGGATATCGCCTCAATTTTACTAAATTTTCGACTACATCCCATTGTGTTCACTGCAGACATCCGTCAGATGTTTTTACAAATTTCTGTACACCCCAAACATCAAGATTATCAACGTATCTTGTGGCGATTTTCTCAACAAGAAGAGGTAGGTGATTTTCGACTGAAACGTGTTACTTTCGGCTTATCCGTTTCACCCTTTTTAGCTAATAGGACGATTTTACAATTAGCTCAGGATGAGCGTTCAAATTTTCCGTCTGCAGTTACAGTCCTCGAAAATGATATTTACGTGGATGACATCGTCACTGGATGCTCTTCAATTCAGGCAGCAGTTGAAACACGCGATCAGTTAATAGGCATATTGAAGACCGCGAACTTTGAGCTTCGAAAATGGTCTTCAAATCACCCGCTATTATTAAAGGATCTCCCGCAAGCGCATCTCCAAATTACGGATTCCTTTGATTTTGATACGCAACTAGACTCGCCCATTAAGATTTTGGGTCTAAATTGGCAACCTCTCGTGACTATTTTTCTTATAATGTGGACCCTTCAATTCGAATTTGTACAAAAAGAACAATTATGTCAGATATTGCTCGAATATTTGACCCTCTAGGTCTGCTTACCCCTGTGACTGTATACGCAAAAATTTTTATGCAACGACTGTGGAGCTTGGGAGCACAATGGGATGATAATTTATCTGAAGAGATATCCGACAAGTGGACCAAATTTAAATCCGAATTGCCGTTATTGAAATCAATTAAAATTCCACGATACATTCTGGGTGATAATATTATTAGCGTCGAAATACACGGATTCTCAGACGCCAGTGAAAAGGCGTACGCGTGCGCAATCTATTTGTGCTTTCAATATTCAAATTTTTCTTATAAATCCAATTTAATTTGCGCCAAGTCTAAGGTGGCCCCGCTTCAAACCGTTTCGATTCCAAGGCTCGAGTTACTAGGAGCCGTTCTGCTCTCAAATTTAATGTCTCTAGTACTAAAATGTTACGCTGATAAAGTACCAATTTCTGAAATTTATGCTTATACAGACAGTTCAATAGTTTTAAATTGGATTAAATCATCGCCACATAAATGGAAGGCTTTTGTGAGTAATAGGATTACCCACATCCAGAAACGAATTGCACCTTCTCATTGGTTTCATGTCGATTCCTCGAATAATATCGCGGATTGCTTCAATTGAAGAGGTGGTTTTATGGACCGCAATGGTTACATCTGGATAGGAAAGATTGGCCAAACTCCACCGTAAATACTGTACCGATTTCCGCAAATATTAATCCTGATATTTTGGAATCGAAAACCCTTTCCTTTGCGACCACAAATACACCAAATTTTGTTGGTGACATTATGGATAATTACTCTTCAATTTCGAAAAGTAAAAGGATACTGGCTTATGTACTACGATTTATTCACAATTGCCGCTATCACGACAAGAGGAGAGTTGGGACTCTCTCATTTTATGAACGTAAGGAAGCTCTTATTGTCATGTGTAAGTATGCACAATCTATTTCATTCGAGACAGATATATTAAAATTGAAAAATGGGAATTATCCCTCGAGGTTTTTAAGAAAACTAAACTTTCTCGATGAACAGGGAATCTTAAGAGTTGGGGGCCGAATCAAACATTCTTCTCTAGGATTTGAAAATAAGCATCCCATTGTATTGCCCAGGAACTCTCGTATTACAGTTTTGATTATCGAAGATTTTCATAGGAATTTTATGCATCCTGGTGCTCAAACGCTCCATTTTCTTATAATTCAAAATTTTTGGATCCTGTCCCAAAACGAGCTATTAGAAGTGTCATTTCTAAGTGCCAAAGGTGTTGGAAATTATCACCAAAACCATATGAACCTCCAATGGGGGATCTCCCTTCGTTAAGAGTTTCCAAATTAAAGGCATTTTCCTGCGTCGGTTTGGATTATGCCGGTCCATTTAAGATCACGATGGGTAAATATAGAGGCGCCAAAAGTTATAAGGGTTATATATGCATTTTTGTTTGTTTCGCGACAAAGTGTATCCATCTTGAATTATCGTCAGATTTAACAAGCGAAACGTTCATAGCTTCACTCAGGCGCTTCATTGCACGTCGAGGTAGATGCTCTGTCATTCACTGCGACTGCGGAACAAACTTCGTAGGAGCTAACCGTCAAATTCTGCAACTATTTCAGCAAGCCGCCGAAACCGAGAATATTGAGTTTAGGTTTCACCCTCCCGGTTCGCCTCATTTCTCTGGCCTCGCTGAAGCTGGAGATAAATCGGTAAAGACTCATCTTTACAGAACTATTGGAGAGCAAATATTAACCTATGAAGAGTTCTACACGCTGTTAACGCAAATAGAAGCTGTTTTGAATTCTCGACCGCTCTATCCCGCCAGTAATGATCCCAATGACATTTCAGCTTTGACTCCTGGTCACTTCCTTACTTTAGAGCCCTTGAGTTGCCTACCTGAACCTGACCTCTCTCATCTTAAGTTGAGTACCTTGAATAGATGGCAATTGTTACAACGACTTCATACGCAATTTTGGAGCCGTTGGCGTAATGAATACTTACATACACTCCAACAGAGAGGGAAGTGGCTAAACCCTCCACAATCAATCTCTGAAGGTGATCTTGTTTTAATAAAAAACGAAAATACTTCACCCTTGCACTGGCCCCTGGGTCGTATTGTTAAGTTATATTTAGGCAAGGATAATGTGGCCCGAGTAGCCGATGTACGTACTTCACAAGGATTGCTAAAAAGAGCAATAATTAAATTGTGTCCATTACCAATGCCTGATTGATTGTGTAAAACTTATTAAAATTATATTATAATTTTGAGCGGGGAGAATGTTTGGTCTTCCCAATATATTTAATTTTTGTTGTTATGCCAAACAATATTTTTATTTATTTTTGTTTAATTATTAGAAACAGCAAGGGAATTTATTTCAATTTGTTTGAATATTAAGTATTTAGTTTGAATGTTGTGTGAACACGTTGAGCTTGATACTCGCGGCCAGGGAGGGGGCTTGCGTCGTTCGGTCGACATAGTGGGACATTATTATTATGTTTTGACGTTTGAAAGAAAGTTTATGTTAATGTGCTGCTCCTATCGCATCTTTGCTACCACAGACCAACTACCGCTACCGAGACGCCAATGCATTGCTGGGATCCATTAAAACAAAGGTGAGTGCTTGCTCAACGCTGCCGCTTTTTGCACCCGCTTAATTTTATCACACCGCTAAAACAGATACAAAATCTCTTTTCCCACAATGTATGAACCCTGAATGTAATGATACTTATTTTACGATAAGTATGTTCCTTTTAAAATGTAAATTTCGCCTCTCATCTTACATAGTTGTTGAGAAAGTCTGTCTCCGGTATGTATTTTACGCCCTACATTTTACAGAAAGTTAAAAATTATTTCCAGCAATTTATCTTGACCAGTTTCCTTAAGAGGATTTGTCCAAATCTCTTCCTGCCACAAATTCCCATTCTTTTTCACAAAATACCGTGAGATAATGTCTAATAATTGTTACTGAAGGGATATTAAAAACTAAATTATACGAGTTTACCAATTGGTTGACTACGAACTCTATTAATGCTGCACGTTTCCAGAGAAAATTCATTTTTCAAAGAATCTCATCTATTTTGTTCTAAAGGATATTTACGGTTCGTTACTTTCCCCCTTAAGAGATTAAATCTACGATTCAGTTTTCTCTAACAATACAAAATTTTTCTAAATGAAGGTTTATGATAAAGTATTTTACAATAGGTTTTTTTTGTATCTATTTGAACATGCGACAGATCGAAACCTGGATGTAATCGCTGAGTTTCCAGACCAAACACGCAATCTGAAAAACCATACAGCAATTTGAGCAAAGCTCGTAAAAAAGGACTAACGTTGACATAACAATTTCGCGAAACGATTCGACAATTAAAACTTGATTGTGTTTTTATTACAATCGTACCTACTTAAACTTGTCCTCTATATTAAAGAACGTTAAAGGAAGGTATGAGCTATAAACTAGGAAAGCTTTTTCTTTCAAGGGCTTACTGTGCCATTATCTTTGTATATACGCTGGAATATTAAAGCTATTACTTTAGCGACAGATCAATAATGAAATATTAAGCTATACAGGTTGTGTTTATTTATTGGATTAATCCTGCACATAAAAAATACTCAACCTTTGCATGCCTATGCTAAAATCTCCGATGCTCTACACCTACAGCTTAACATAGTAAATGGGATCTGAAAAAAGTCCCAATACAAAATAGAATTTAACATCCAATCCATTTCAATCTCTATTTCCAGATCAACGTTTTATTGAGTGTGCCTACAGTTTTTCCGCCAATATACGAAGTGCACCAATAAAATTGCAGGAGGTCGAGTTTTTCGATTTGGATTTGGAGTTTGGAGTACAATCCATAAATAGTGAGCAAGAGCATGCAATGGAAACCAAAGGGTTTGTCACGGCCAGAAAGACACAAATCTGGGACCATTTGAAATTTAAGTAACCTTGGCATTGGTTACTTTTAATTTCTTAAACAAGGGCCACACACCAGCAAACGTAGTAGAAGACCTGAACCTAGGTGCCGCCAGGGTGACGACTTGGCACTATATCTAGTTCATTCTTGTAAGGAACTCTAATCAGAATTCCAGATCAATCGCACTCTATCAAAAACTAACCGAAGATATGAACAAAATGACAGAGGATCGAGTGGAAATATTTAGTCGTACAGGAACCGCTATTATTTATTTACTTATTATCCCTCTCTTGTTCTGGGCCCTCAACAGGCTTGGGCCCAATAGGGAATATGCATGTGGTTTAAATTTACTTGATTCTTTCTCCAGCAAATATTTATTGTCCTGACATTACACTTAAACCATTAGTTTCTTATTTAGTTTGTTTTTAATTACTAAAAATGTTAATTCAAAGGTGCAAAATAAGCGAACGAAATTCAAATTTGCGAAACGCTTCACTATTGGACGAATGAAAGTGACGTCAAATGCCACGCGATCGCATTTGTTGTGTCAATATTCATAAGTACTTAGTGCAGTCAAATTACAGTTTGGGCAGATTGAGCTGGGTTTCATTTCACTCAAGGAAATCAAGTGTCTTCTATGTGAAAAGATCCGCTGTATCCGAAAACCATAGTCCCCCTAGCCGAATAAACTCCCGGAATATATTGTTATGTATAAACAAAAAACGATGAAAAAATGGCAAGATGTCGTTTCTTTTACTCTAAGGGAAAAAATGAAGAGAAATGAATTGGTTTAGAATTCAAATTTCTATAAGATAGAATGGGTATGAAACGTTCATTTTCAAATGTTATTATTTTTTATGGAAAAATATAAAAAAGCAATCCCGAAGATGATCAATTGGTTATTTTATTACTAAGTAAAATTCATCCGATCTTTTTGAAAATCCGTATTTGGTCACTTCTTTTGATAACAAAACAATATGACAAACCCGATCACCGTAGATTTGATAGTTATTGCATAATTAATAAACAAATTTACAAAACGATACTTGGTCTTTTAAACTGGGTGACCCCCAGAGCGTTCTACATTTGTTTACAGATGGTGGAATCCTAAGACAACCATTTCCAAAAATTGTCCCGATAATTCTTGCAAATTGATGGACTGTGGAATTTTTTTTAGTTAACTAACAAATTGAATAACTCCCGAAATATAACAAGGAAGGTAACTCTATAATAGGCCCTTGGCCTTCTGATTAATTGTTGAAATGACAATTGACAATTGTTGAAAAAGGTTGTTTTAGGGTTTACTAACTAAAAATTGAGAACGCTCTGGGAGACGTCCTTTTGGAACTGCAAAATACACTTTATCGGGAATACTTCTAATAGTGTTTTTGCACTTTTGTACAAGACAATACCTATAAAATGGTTTTTTAGCGTTTTTCATGGTCCGAATAGCTATTACAACTGAAAATCTGTTGAAATAAATCAACACTAAAAGTAAACAAATAGGTACTGGTCGTGGCTTGTGACGTCATCCAAGGCCCGCTGAAAATGTGGCGGCGTTTAAACACATCGAATAAAGTCAACGTTTTAAATATTATTTTACAAGTTAAATTGAATTGTTCTAACAGTGTTTACTCTTGTTACTATGTTAGAACGATGTAAAAAAGCGATTAAAAAATTACAAAAATTACATGCATATTCCCTATTACAGAGTGACCCGCATAATGTTTTCTAGAGGTGCCTCTGCAGAAGGTCTTAAGTTGTTCTATACTACTCCGGTGTTTATCTTACGAATTAGGAAAACCTAATTCGGAGTAGCCGACAGAATGCTCGAGACTGGTCTAAGGTAATTCCCATCTCGGCCACAGATGAAAAATTCACCACAATCCAGGTTCGAACACCGGACCTCCGGATTTATAGCCAACGCTCAAAATGATGGCATATGTGTTGCTACGTAAACCAGGGGGAGTATGCTCTGCGGTAGAAATAATTCGTCGGCCCGTGTAGCGCAGTTCAGTGGAAGCTCGACTGCGGTACAGGGTCCCTGGTTCGAATCCGGGTTCGGGCATGGATATTTGTAAATGTATAGTGGGTTGGGTTGGTAGAGCAGCCTCGGCTGAAACCCCGCCCACTTAAAAATAAAGGCAAAAAAAAATAATAATAATGCCGACAATAATGATATCCCTTGAATGATGTGCATAAGTACCGTAATTTTCGTTTAAAGGTATGGGAATTCAAAGCGACACACCCTACATTTAATATTAGTCAAATTTATAAGGAAATCTAGTGGAATTTTGTTAAAAAAAGGCACATCATTGATTAGTTTTAATTAATTTTAGTTGTAGTTGTACTTTTGCTGCTTTAACTGGTTTTTTTAATTTAAAACGTAAAAGTTAAAAACGTGGGCAAAGTCTGTACGAGGAATTATTTAACAGGCGTTTGATGAGAGGACTTTATCAAAGTAAAACTTCATTGATTTAGCGATGGCACATGTGCAAAGTTTGTAGAAAAGGAAATGTGTTGTAAACAAGTGCTCGCATGTATGGTGACCACGGGTCATTTGTCTTAGCATACCTAGCAGTCCGTTGCGGGTAAATTTCAAATACGCATTTTTCCGGCAGGCTTGTTTCCGGCTTGCTTTGTCAGTTAAATTAAGAAGGAGCGATAAGTATAGCATTAGTTTTCCGATTGCTATCCATGGTTAGTGTTCACGCATTTACTTACAAGTATATTATAGAAGAAGCCGAGACCTATTTTTTTCTGTATTCGACCGTTTGCAACATAGTTTCAATTAGTTTGCCGTCAGATTATTTGTATGTTTTCTAGAGCAGTTTATTTTATTTTTGTATGATTGTGTTACTTAATGCGTGTATGAAAATTTCTTTTGGTTCGGGTTAACTGATGGTCGTTTCCTGTATAAATCAAAATTTATTGTTGTTCATTAGAATCATTGTTGAGATTTTTCAGCGCTTCGGACCTTGAGATTCAATTTTTCTTAATTTATTTTTTATTTTATATATACTGCAATAATTTTTTGGCGCCAAACGTGGGGCACAGCATTTATTTCTTTATGCGCCCGAAAAAAAAAGGATATAATAACGTATTTCCTCTATGCTAATGGCACATTGCACTTTCTAGTAAAATTAGTTTGAGCAATGAAGAGGCTCAAGGTATATTGCTTACAAGAAAATGAACTAGCAATGACAATAAATTGAACTACAATTTTTGTCCAATAACCGTTTTTGGTTATATTTCTCACCGACAACAATCGAAATAAGTGTTAAAGGAAACAGTTTTCTTTCAATTTTTTTTTACT